ATTATATATATATATATATATATATATATATATATATATATATATATATATATATATATGTGTGTGTGTATATGTTATCTAATATAGGCTACGGTATATAAAATTGTAAAAATGCCACAAAGTTGCATGCGCCATGGTTGTACCAACCCAAGAGAAAATGGAAAATGTCTCATTTCACAGGTAAGCGCTCTTATTTACCTCATTCTGAATGTGTGTCCAACCATAATTAAAACTAATAACATAAACGACTAAAATTAATTATAGAAATTAACATTATTGTAATCGCTGTTATTTATTGAATTGGTTAGTAGATAGCTTCTGTGGCATATATTATTATACAGTGCAGCTTTATGGGGTGTCACGGTGGCTCAATTGGTGAAGCTATTGCCTCTCAGCAAGATCACCAGTTCAAAACCAGCCAGGGACATTTCTGTGTGGAGTTTGTTCTTTCTAAACATGTGTGGGTTTTCACTCTAAACTGTGAGGTGTGTGTGAGAGAGTCAGAGTCAGAGTCAGAGTCAGAGTCAGAGTTTCTTTATTGTCATTCGCACCTCATGTGGTACATGTGGTGGAGCGAAATTATGTACACAGGGTCCCAGTTACATCCAACAATAAAATGTATAAGAAAAACAGTAATAACATCTAAGATATGAACTAAGAAAAACATCAACTAAATATACACTAAGCACTCATAACATAAAAACATTGAACATCAGCACAAACATGAACATGAGTCTGTGAGCAGATGTGCACGCATGAACACATCAACATTGAAACAGATCAGCAGCAACATGAAACAGATCAGCAGCAACATGATATGGTTTTTCACAGTGAATATTCTAGTTAGAGATTCATGAGTCTAACAGCCTCAGGGTAGAAGCTGTTCCTCAGTCTAGTGGTTCTACACTTAATGCTCCTTAACCTCCTTCCTGAGGGGAGTGGGGCAAAAAGTGTGTGTGCTGGGTGGGTGGGGTCCTTCATGATGCAGGTGGCCCTCTTCCTGCATCTGGAGGTGTAGATGTCTGTGATGGTGGGGAGGCTGATTCCGACAGATTTCTGTGCAGCCTTCACCACTCTCTGCAAAGCTTTTCTTTCTGCAGCTGTGCAGCCTCCATGCCACACATTGATGCTCGAGCACAGGATGCTCTCCACTGCACACCTGTAGAAGGGTAGAGAGAGTGAATTGTTTGTCTCGTTTGTCTCTATGTGACACACACACACAGCGATGGCTGGATATGGCAATAGTGACCCCTGTGACCCTAAAAGAAGTGGGTAAAGAAAATTGATTATTTGACTAGTTTTTTTTTGTTTTCCAGTACACAAATCTGACTTATTGAGAAGATTTTTAGCCAATATCAGTTTCATCCTTCATATTATCTCCAGGTATTCAGTGAACATTCATTTATTTATTCATTTGTCGACTACACAACAGGTAAATTATAATAAAATAATAAATATAGATTATTCCAATAATGTTATGCAATACTCTTTATATTTAGTTTCTAAGTTGTGTGTGTTATTGACTGACTTCAGATCTATAGTAGTTTAGGTCATATATATTTTTAATATATCATCAAGCTGTTTTACATGATTGTTGAATGAAATCAACATTGATTATCAATTCTATTAATTTATAGTAAAAAGATTACAAATAATTTGTGACATAGTTGGGCTTGTGGTTAATCAAATAGTTTCTTTGTTGGCTGAGTGTTTGCCTTCTTTGGTTGCTAAATTTGCTCTTCCACGATGTTGCAGATGAAAGTGGGACAGGCAGCATGCCCTCTAGTCAACCTATTTAACTATATGTCATAAATACAGCTGAACACACTAAGTTTACATTGAGTAATGGAATTATTTCTGATTTTCCATCACATAACTAAAATAAACAATAGAGAAACTTAACTGAAATTATTAAAAACAACAGAAATATTAAATAACATAAACCATGTACTTATTATTGAAGGACTTCAAGACAAACTGTTTGGCGATCATTACATCAGCATGTTTCTTTTTTAAACGTACATTCAATAGAAAGTTGAATATTTTCTTTTGTCTCTTGTAGTCTTTTGTGCTGCTTATAATATTTGAAAGGAAAGACATTTTACTAGACTCAGTCTACATTTGTAGGGGGGGTTCTTTACACACAAGTATTTTTATTCAGAAAAACAATTCGTTCAACCCTGATAGGATTGCAAAACCTGTTCAGTACATGACACTCAGGTAAGTGAGGGGAGACTTTTCAAATACACTGCAGTTAAGAAGCGTGTTAAAATATTTTATAATGTCAAACGGTGAATCAACCACTAATCAGGGAAGGACATGAGAAAAATGAATTCACATGTAAAGTGTGTGTGTAGATATACATAACATATAGTGTGTATAGATATATATAACATATAGTATGTATAGATATATATAACATATAGTGTGTATAGATATACATAACATATAGTGTGTATAGATATATATAACATATAGTGTGTATAGATATACATAACATATAGTGTGTATAGATATACATAACATATAGTGTGTATAGATATATATAACATATAATATGTATAGATATATATAACATATAGTGTGTATAGATATACATAACATAGAGTATGTATAGATATATATAACATATAGTGTGTATAGATATATATAACATATAGTATGTATAGATATACATAACATATAGTGTGTATAGATATACATAACATATAGTATGTATAGATATATATAACATATAGTGTGTATAGATATATATAACATATAGTGTGTATAGATATATATAACATATAGTGTGTATAGATATATATAACATATATTGTGTATAGATATATATAACATATAGTGTGTATAGATATACATAACATATAGTGTGTATAGATATACATAACATATAGTGTGTATAGATATACATAACATAGAGTATGTATAGATATATATAACATATAGTGTGTATAGATATATATAACATATAGTATGTATAGATATATATAACATATAGTGTGTATAGATATACATAACATA